AAGTACATGAAAAAGTTACGTAGATGGATTGGCAGGGAATAATTAGAAATATGAAAAAAATCAGAAGGATTCAAATATTTTTAATCAAAGTGTTCATTATTATTATTCATCCTAATAATATAGTTGTTGGATGTGAAGCATCCAATAATGTAAATTACACTCTTCATTACTGACTTAAACTGAAATTCTCACCTCTATATTGCTAAGGAGTTTTAACATAGCTACTAACGTGTCTCATAAGCACTATGTATAAACGAAAATACATAATTTAATAAAAGGTTTCTTAATATATTAAATCTCATTGTTCGTCCGTCAACATTAACCGATTAGAATTATGGTGTGTCGCATGTCGAAGTAGCAGCAATTACGTATTTAGCTTCTTTCTTTAATGCATGTTGAGAAAGGTCAACAGATCGAGAAGAAAGGATAGAACTGGGAGTTAATGAGCAGAGATACGTCTGCTTCTTATTGTTTTGATATTTAAATTCGTTACAAGATTTTTCACTTGAACTTTTATCCACTATTTTCATGATATTATTGTCATTTCCAGCTAAAGTCTCCAGGTGAATACTCGCTTTTCGTGGTCCTACTGCCATCTCTTAGCTAAATAATATTTGTAAGTAGTACCGTTAATGTAGCATTTTAGAAATTCTTGCCTTTTAAAGCTAGATTTCTTAATACTTTTCGAGTTGTTCTTGTGCTCGAACGCGGTTAACAAATGTATCCCGTTCTGAAGAAAGACTTTACTAGCGCTAGGGAAAATATCTTTCAAATGTCGGATTTTTTTGATTCTTACGATTTCCTGAAAACTATTTTACACTGGCAAATTTCTTCTAGTCTATCCAATACTTTAAATATGATTGCCGATGAAATGATTTCTTTTGAACAATCGAGTCACGATGTTCTCTTCACGCTTTCCTTAGCACTAGTGATTAACTTTTCTCTTTAAATTGTTGCTACGAATTAGAAAAGTCACTTCTTTCATCTTTGCTCTTTCATCATTGTTAAGGCTTAATAGCTTAATATCTTATGTTATTCTTATCGTTATTATTCTATGGGTTAAGTAGAGATTGGAACCGGTTTATTTTTCATATGTTAAAGCCGATTAGAACCGATTTTAACGTATGAAAAATAAAACCGGTTCCAAACTCCAAGTCTTAAGATTTTTATCTTTCATGTGTACACTTAATGACAATTTTGTCAGATCTGTCATACATGAATCTTCGATGGAAATTTCCATCATGGTATCTGTATTCCTAATATAATCATAGCACCTGCTTTAACGTTCCCCCAATTTTGTCAGGTCTGTCATACATGAATCTTCTATGTAGATTTCAAAAAATTACTATATTTGAAAAAAAAAAATATTGGTATAGGTATATAATACTAAAAAAATCTGTCTGTTGTGATCGTCATCAACTCTTTCTGCAAATAATTTCCTTTGATTTTTCCTAAACTTCCTAATTATGGGCATCAATAAATCCTTAAAATTTTCCGACAAATTGAATTCTGAAAATTCGCCGGATTCTTTTTCGGCCGTTACTTCCGAGATTCCTATCATTTCCGTAGGTCCCTATGGGATTTTTTATGACTACGGTTCCTTTGCAAAATGTTTTTGTAATCAATGTGATGGACGTCGTGTTCCGCTTTACACTTGTAAGAGCGAAAATTGTAATATCAAATGTCCACCTCATACTAGAAAATGTTCTGAATGTGGCGATCACAATTATTTGGCTAGACGTATAATTAATCGTAAACATTACGCTAGTCGGAAATCCCGTTTAATTTCTGAGAATTCTGTTTCTTCAATAAATAAATCATCTGATTCCATCAATGACATGGATTTGAAAGAAATTTGGAACAACGCTTGTTCGGAAGCACTTGAACATCAGTAATTTTATATTATATTTCTCGTGAATTATTCGTGCAAATATCTGTTAATTTTCTTGGAGTGTATTTTCAGGGGGATCCCTTGTTCGAAGTTTGTAATGTCTGTGTAACCATGTGTTAACCTTTTATAGAGATCGTTTAAAGTCGTGTGGTTAGAGTTACTTTTTTTGATGCAGTTATGATTTTTAGTTTATATAAATATCAAGAATATGATTATGCAGTATGTCGATCAATATTTTCAACACTCACTATAGAACTAGTGCTAGTGTTACTATGACCAAGATATCTACAAATATATTTTTTTTTTACATGTTTTTATTCTATATTATTGATTTATTGGTAAATTTAAAGATAATGTACAGTACGTCGTGGTAAACTATTTTTTCTTCTGTAATAAATTTTTTAGCAAATATGGTATTTATTATAATGAACTCCTTTCGTTTTGTTTCATAATGAAATTAATATCACAAAGAACTAAAAAAAAATTTATTGTGGCTGATGCAATGTTTAAATTTGGGGTCTCGGTGCTAATGTTGAAATTTGGGATCTCGATTTGAAAATATAAGCCCTGCTAAAATCCACATAAACACTTTAATTATAAATTCTAGCCCAAAATCCTAACCCAACCTTCAAAAAACATCACAAAAAATTTTATCAAATAGGTCCAAATTTCAGCATCATTCGCAGCAATTATTTAAATAATGATTTTAACTATAAACTGAATAAAGACAACATAAAAATAATATTAAAACAATTTTAATGAGCTTTAAGTTTTTTATTTTAGTTTTGTGAATATAACGACGATATGAGAATTTATTGAATTTTATTTTCTTTATAAACGTAAAATAATATTGGGAAAGGTTTTTTACCGAATTAAAAATCGACCCATGTTATTTTTAATTAGTAAAATTGAAGAATGACAAATGTTGACAAAGTCCCGACATAGCCGTGTCGAAAAGCATAAATACGATTGTCATATGATTGGGTTAGCTAAAGGTGCCGGAAATAAATTCAATTCAAGGACTTGAAGTCTGCAGAATACATAGTGAGTAATTTTAGCTATGTAATTCGAACTGAAACCGATGATATGCTCCCAGATATCATCGTGACAATAAAATGAGTAGCATCAGCCAATAGTTTCCCGCCTGCTCGAAACAGGCCGACTGTTAAATAGGAAAATGACAGAATCAGAAGACTATCATGTGTGATGGGAAGAGAAATTTGTTTGTCTAAGGCTATTGTGTTAAAAGGGGAAGGAGAAAGAGACTTTTATCAGTTCTTATATATATATATATATATTATGATCGGTGGCTTTTCTATTTAAAAGTATTAATAAATAAAAATTGAAAAGTAACTTGTAAATTTAATAAGAATGAAAGGAAATCAGGAGCAAATGGTTTAGACATTAAAAACCTGAATAAAAAACCGACGTATATTACGAACATTACCGATACTATAAAAAGCCTTACTACTTAATCAATTATGAGAAAGATGAATCATAGGAAAACCAAATATGAATACAAATATTTGCCAACTAATTGACTAATGTAACGAATAAAATTTTACTTTTTTTTTATTATATTATATTTTATCTTATTTTATTTTATATAAACATATTATTATAGTTAT